GTGAGCAAGAGAGAACGCAAGGGGCACGAAACAGAGTATGTCCTTTTCTACGTGCACCTCGGCTTCCACTCCTCAACACTCGGTTTAGGTATACTATGAGTATGTTTCCATCGAGGGTTCAAATTGGGTCAGAGTCGAGTTAGAGTCTTGTTGGGGTGAGCGTTCTTACGGTGGAAACCCCAAACTTAAAGTTGAACTCTACCCAAAGGGATGTTTCCACCGTAAGAACGCTCACCCCAACCCGACTCTGACTCGACTCTGACCCGATTCGAACCCTCGATGGAAACATACTCTATTCTATGGTCTTAAGTCTTATTGCCGGTCTACAATAGTGATTTAAGCCCTAAGCCTTAAAAAATTGACTAATCACAGTCGGGCATAGCTGCATATGCATAGCATAAGACCGTCTGGACCAATAAGCGTGCTATGTAAATCAATATGGCGATTTACATAGCACGCTTATTGGTCCAGACGGTCTTATGCTATGCATATGCAGCTATGCCAATTTGTGTGTGATAGCCTTTAGGGCCTATTTCACCAAGCTCAGTTAAATTAACCGACGGTTAAAATTAGCAGGGTTCCAACTAAAATGATAAGAATGCTTGGTTTTCCTTCAACTCTATTTTCTGTTGGCCACCTTGCTAATTTTAACCGTCGGTTAATCTAACCGAGGTTGGTGAAATTGGCCCTTAGCGAGCAATAGTCTATTACCCGTATTCTAAAGCCCGTATCAGACTACGCATTGAAGATTGAGATTGAGGATTGAAGATTGAAATTTGACCAATCAGGACAAAGAAATTTTAGTTTTCCTTGTCCTGATTGGTCAAATTTCATCCCTTTTGTTCTGATTAGTCAAATTCCAATCTTTAATCTTCAATCTTCAATTTTCAATGCGTAGTCTGATACGGGCATAAGGGCCTCTGGTGGCTCAGGGAGTAGCGCGCCTGACTCACATCCCAGAGAACTCGGGTTCGATTCCCGACTCCGACCCTGGCCTGCGCTTTCCTATTTTTTTTCCTACTACCTCCCTAACACAAATTCTTTCCTTCCCCCAAGAGGAACCTTCATATATACGACATTATTCTATCTACGACATTATTCTATCTTTAAACCAGTTTATGGCCGTATAGCGAGTACTCGCTGAAGCCAATCCCAAAACCCAAGCAAGCAACCCCACCCGTATTCTATGAAGGGCCGTCTACAATGGCAGTAACAAGGCTGTAGGAGTAGGAGAGTATACTTTTGAGAGCAACATTGTAGACGGCCCTTAAGTAATGTCTTAAGATGCTAATACGGCTCTGTGATTGGTTTAGGACATCTTAAAGGGCATTTTACAATGGCAGTAACAAGGCTGTAGGAGTAGGAGAGTATACTGTTTTTAGTGATGTTTAGACGGGGAGTAACGAAATGGGCAATTCCCATTTGCTCTTAAAAGTATACTCTTCTACTCTTACAGCCTTGTTACTGCCATTAGAGTTACGCTTTTCACCAGGATTGTCCTTGCCATTGGCTGTCGCTAGTTAACGATACCGAAAACTGTCGTTAGTAAGTTAATGAATCCCGCTACAGGGGTGCGTTCCGTAGTAACGTCCCGGACAACTTTTTATTACAAAACCGTTCCGTTTACCAAGGTGTAACGTCATAACTGCGTTCCGTTTTCACAATTTCCGAACGTCCGGGCGACAACTTTTCGTCGTGCTCAGGACTCCGATGAAAAACGTCACGCATGCGCAAAACGGCGTGATGTAATAAAGCGACGGTCAAATATATGTAGATTTGCGTTGTAGGTTATATTTATGTTTATATTCTATCAATTTTGTGTTTTAATATAAATTAATATAAAGAATATATTATGTTTGAAGTTTTATATCTAAGTTTAATGTTACTTACATGTAGATAAAACCTGGTAATGGATAATTTAAAGGCAGCTAGTTTAATTGTGATCAATTATTTAAGTAAATTAATATTCTTTAATATAAAATATAATCACAAAACATAAATAAAATGTTATGTATGCGCAAGCGCAAAATCGTCCAAGAATCGTTCTGTTTCACGAGACAATCTCGGTGTGTGACGTTAAGGTGCCTTTACATGGCAGCATTAAGCGTCGAGCGTCTGCGCAGAAAAATGCGCAGAATTTAAAAGAGATAGATTCTAGGCTGAAATTAGATTCTGCGCAATTTTCTACGCAGACGCTTAACGCTGCCATGTAAAGGTACCTTAACGCTGCCATGTAAAGGTACTTTAAAGCCCGTATCAGACTACGCATTGAAGATTGAGATTGAAGATTGAAATTTGACCAATCAGGACAAAGAAATTTTAGTTCCTTTTGTTCTGATAGTCAAATTCCAATCTTTAATCTTCAATCTTCAATTTTCAATGCGTAGTCTGATACGGGCTTTATACCTCGTCTGGACGAACATTCCGGTATACGGAACGCACCCCAGCGGAGTGACTGGGGAGAAGCCGTGGGCAGCAGATGTAAAATGTAAACAAGAGTTTGATTTGAATCGTCGTTACAACGTAAGCGATTGTAACTGCAATTTCTCGTCGAGAAACGCGGATATTAGTGCGAGAGTATGCGAGATCTTCTCGAACCGAACGTAAACGCGTCAGGTATAAAGTGACGCACATCTGTATTCATAACCTGCAAGCATCCGTCATCGATAATAGACGCGCACGACCTATCGTGAATATTAAAAGCGGAATATATAAATATGTTTAATTTCTATTCGATCGTCGTTCGTTGCGATCGAGCGGGGAGAATCTACGCGACGACTTAAAAGTGCGAGTGAAAAACGCGGCGGCCGGAGAATGTAGAAGAGGAGAGGATGCTTCAGTAGTATGGAATACGATTCAGAATCAAGCTGCGAGGGCGGTTGTTGTTCGAGGGACCTCGCGAACACCGGCGACGATGAACCAGCTCGTCTGACGGAAGCGCGCGAGAAATGCGATCGCGCCTCCTGCAGCCGCTCCCCACCATTTACGGCGGAGCCGTTGAAATTGAAGGCAAATTTAGCCAAGAAGAGTCTCTCCGCGCAGGTAATGGAATATTATCGCAAATACTCCCGAGACGCGAATCTGGATCAATATTTCTCCCTACCCGTGTCGAATACTCCGCAGGAGACTGTTAACTACTACTACAGCGTGTACGAACTGAACGCACAGGTGGGCCCGAATAGGCAAGACTGTATCGGAGAAGAGTATAATCTAATGTCTTATGTCCCGAGGGAGAGACGTAGGTGGGTAAGGCCTCCATTGATCGGACAGTCCTCAAATACGGATACTTCAACCAGGTACGTTGAAACGTTGACAGATCTCCAGACACCATCGCCCGATTTCAAGCACCATCTCACGCCGGAAACGATACACGAGGAAAAAAATGAGAGCCAAGAGAAGTTTCCCGAGATAAACGACAGAAGGCTATCCTCCCCAACTTCCAGCGTAACTTCTCACAAACCACTGGAATGGGATAGCGGCGCTGATGTTGGTTACTTCAATTCACTCGACCATAATAAGCAAGACGACAAGAGATTAAGCACCATAGAACGCATGGCTCTGGCGCGAGGATGCTCGGCTGCTTTACGGTTAGATCCGGAAGGTACCACCGAATCCGGGATGCAATCGGGGAAGAATACAGGGGCGCATGGCGGTTCGAAATCATCGACTGCGCCTGATGCAAATTCCACACCGTTGGTAGCGCATGCTTCAGGATCGGAGAACGAAATAGAGATAACGCCTATTGTCAAGAACCATTTGCCTGGCATTATCACGGGAGATAATATAAAATCGCAAGAGAGATGCGTTGCGAATGATGCCGCAGAACCGAAAGCTATGATAAAGCCCACGAAACGGGAAGTACACAATTTCGATACCCCTACATCATCGTTTAAGACGCCATTGACGCTGGTGAAATATTCGACGGTAGAAAGAAGGATCGTAAATTCGAAACGTAAAGAAATTACACGTCCATCTAGTTCGCCGTTGCAGAAAAGCATCTCGATGAATGTAATACCCGCGTCGTCGTCAAAATCCTCTTTGAAGAGAAGTCAGAGCGAACTAAACTTACACGCTAAAGAAAAGAAATCTGTGTTGCCTCTAATCTTTAACTCTACGTCCTCTATCGCTACTGTGGTAAATAAACCTGCCACTTGTGATAAAGTAATACAGACAAGTCCAGACGTATGCTCTCAAGAATCCGTTGCCATTCAAGTTTCAGATCTTGACGAAAGCAAGTCGCCGTTGTTAACGGAGAAAGATCCTAATTTGCAAACGATACATTCTATTTTGAAAAAGTCCAATGGTACGTATAAGGTCAAAAATATAAGAAAATGCGAAAACGCTTCGCGTTCAGCAGATGATGTCGAGATCGGTACGAGCGCGAGGGACGCTCAAAGACATCGGAGCAGCACGGACATTTCGCAGAACGCGTCGACCTCGATAACACCTCAGCCCGACGAGGCGGAGAATGTATCCGGGAGAGCTAACAGTTTTGAATACTTTCCGGGACACACTTACGCAAACGTTCCGAACGGGAGGGATAGCCACGTGTCTTCGGATACCGGTAGATCGAACTCGACTTTACCAAACAGCAGCTCCAGCGTTAACGACAAGCTGTGGGGAGATTCGGATAGCTTGGTTCGAGACTTGGAGAGAAGCGTCAGCATCCTCAAGAGCCTCGTCGACGCCAACAAATGTGACAAGCAAGTTAAGAAAAGACTGATACAGCACGTGATAAAACGGCTGGTCACTGCAAAGTACACGGACGATAAAATTGAGCATAATTTGGAGGACAACGTTCCCTGGAATCCGGACGACGCAAGGAACAAGGTTTACCGAGCCCAATTGCTTCAGGCTTTGACGAACAAGCATAGCACCACCGAGTCCTCGGACGAGTGGAACTTGCAGAAGAAAGATATATCGATGCAGAAATCTGTAGGAACCACCAGTGACGTTATAAAGGAAGTCGCATTGGGAAGTAGTAACAGTGACAAGTTCGACCGACATACAGATAGAACAGAGATGGACGGTAGAAAAGCGCGACTAGGACTAAGAACCGATGACTGTCAGCGGAGCAGCAACACTCCGACGGATCCTGATAAGAGCGAGAGTTCCGAGTGTTTCGTACCTCAGCGCAATCATAAAAATGCTAAGGTGAACGATATATTCTGCTTCAAGGAGAACTGTAAACTGCCGCATCGAGAATCGACCACGACGAACAGCATACTCCCGGATCACAACAGGATCTTACTAGATGCCGTCGTTAACAATAGAAGGACACTCGTCGAATCTAATAATAATACGGATAACAATACCGATTGGAGATTGCCGACTACCTCGTCGGAAAGGCACTTTGAATTGAAGAAGTGCAGCATGTCCGAGTCCGGTGATTCTAAACTCGTTAATTACGCCGAAATGGAGAAGAGAAATCAACTGATTTGGATTACCAATGAAATCAGCCATCTCTGTAACTTGAAAAAGTACGTTCCGAATATTCGTATTTTAATAATCTCTTTATCGGACTAAAAAATTGTCAAATATTAAACAAGTTTTCTTTTTCTTTCCACAAAGTAGAATATTTATATTATTATATTTTCTTTATCGATTAGATTGCTAGAACAGCCTAGGCGATTAGAAAGACCGAAATCCTCACCGAGAAAGTCCAAATCGGCGAATCTCAAACCGAAGCAAACGGCGATAGTTAGACGGGAACAACACGCCGTACACGGGTAATGCGACATGTTTATACTCCGTAATGTAGATACGGAATTCTATATCATAATTTCACTTTATTTTAATCTCTTTCTCTCTCTCTATCTCTCTTCCTTTTCAGTAGTATATCCGATCTGCGGGAGGATTCCATGAACGAGCCGTGGTCATCTCACTGCAACTTGGCGACCCGCGAGGCTGTGTGTGATACCGTAATCCAGAGGATCATGAAACGTAACAGTTGCACGCAAACGACTACGAATCTATCCAGCGCCCATTCGAAGACGGGAGGGGAAATTGTGTCTGCGTCCAGAACGCAGAGATCCATAACGAAGCAAATCACTGTCGGTGTACAAACGTTACCTCGGGAAATGTCCTCGACACCGCTCGAATCGCCGATAAAATCGGATACGAAGTACATGAATTCTCAAAAACCATGTTATCAGAATGGTGCAAAATGCAGAGATCAATCGTGCCAAACACATAATACCGCCCGTACGTGCGTGCGGTGTAATCAGAAGCCTGACTCCGATACAGCTTCGATCAGATCGCGTAAAGGAGATGTGTCGATCGTTTCGCAGCAGACGCAGACGCAGACGAATTACGCAAATGACGACGGCGCGACGGAACCCACCTATCCCCGTGCATCGAAGAGTAATACCATCCAACAAAAACAGAAAGAGGCTAAGAATCAAATCAATGCATCCAAATCGAAATGTAGTTGCACTCGTAGTGACATTTGCTCGTCCACTAACGATAATAAATGTGGCCTAAACACAATTGAAGTCAAACGAACCATCGAAAAACAACCACTATTTACATGTGCATTGTGTTCCGAACAGAAACCTGTCGCGGATATCAGTAATGCCATTTATAATTGTGATGTATATCAAAAGAATCTCTCCTGCACGCGTGAAAGTATCTCGGGATCAAATGGTCAAACGTCGAGGAACCACATGAATGCGTGCGAATGCGATGTCAATGTTCCTGTTAAGGATGCGGATAGAAAAATCATCGGCAAATCCCGACAAAACTGTAACGCGGAGAATCAGAACAGACGCGGTTTGAATCATAACGAACAAAATAACACTGGAAAGAATTGCGATTGTGCTAATGAACGCGTTATGTATCGAAATTCGGAAACCACGACGGCGGAAACATTATGCGATCATTGTCATTCGAGCAGTAAAATCGACAACAACAACGGCACAACTTTGTGCCGTGCAGCGGAGCATCAAACGCAAAAGCAAATCTATTCTGACAGTTCGCAAGACACTAGCATAGTTCAACAACGTAAAGTACAAAATAGCGTATTAAAATGCAATTGTAACGAGGCTTGCTCTTGTAGTAATAATAAAGCGATCAAAGATACTGTCACAGCGTGCAAGAATTACGCATCGAAACCAAATATCGCAGATAATACCGGTATTAATAAGACAGAGAGAAATTGTCAACATTGTCGCGCGTGTGGTGCCGCGTATCAAAACATCAGAAAATGTGGATGTCATCAAATGTATCCCAAAGCTGTTGCGTATGAGGTGTCGTTTACGAAGGAGAATATCTCGAAAAATGAAATCTCGGATATCATTCCAATAATGCCAAAAGTTTCCAAGCAGCCTTCGAGTGCAGCCAAATTTGATACCTGTTCTTGCGATATTATGAAAAGGAATAACAAAAATAAAGTTCATCGAATGAGTACATTGCAGGTAAGAAATTTGATGAAACTTAATAGACGAAATACTCAATTTGTAGACTTGTCACTTGAATAAAATAATTTTCGTATTTATAATATCAAATATAACGTCCCGAATAACTATTATGATTGATTTTAAAGATGAAATATCATAGACTTTTCGGATTCCTGACAGTCAAATCAATTTCAGGATTATTTATCTAGAAACAATCCCGAGTTTGTGGGCAATGCGGAAACACGCCGACAATATTTATCGGAAATATGCCAATTGCGGGAATTGAGAAAAGAGAAAAGGATACAATTATTGGCAATGGCTAGTACATCTACTGTCAATAAATCCGCACCGATACGAAAGCCAACAGGTGAAATTTAATTATAATATACATTTGTCAAATTAATAATTTACATTGTATTATATTTAGAACAAAATTAATTTTTTTGAATATTGTAGCATTTTATAATATATATATTTCACAATTTTTTTTTATTGTACATATAGCTTGCGCGCAACGAAAAATTACCGACGAGGAAATGAAGGAGCGGTTACGTAAACGGTATCTCCGATTAAATGAAGTACGATTCAAACGGCGACAACAGGAACGACAAGAAGAAGCACGTCGAAATAAACTTATGGCAAAAATTTTTTGCAAGAGATTGCAACAAAAGGTTTTGAGAGGCCAAGTAAATTTATCTCAAAGTGTCAGCGTTATATCCAATTTGTAAAGTTCTTAGGGGTTACTTATGTAGAGTGCCTTTCTATTTTCAGAAGTCTATGAATAGAGCTATCTGAGGGATCTTTTTTTAAATTTTTGTTATTTTGTATATAATTATTGCATACATGAAATTGAAATGTTTGTCCATTTAAAATTTAGTTAAATAAAATAGCGCAGTTTTGCAGTACATTCGTACATTCACACAAATTATGTTATTTTAAGATATGTAGCAAATCTTCTACTTTTATTAATTATTGTTGGTTTAGCAATATTTTATATTTAAACAATTTTGTTAAAATTATTATTACCTATCCTATAAGAATGAATTGTGATTCTGTGCATCTGCAGAATGAACAAAAAATAAGTGAATTTTAAAAAAATCCCGGAGATAGTTCTTAATGTTATATATACTTATCTCCATTTTTTTTATGAATGCCTATTAAACGGGAAAATCTTGAAATATTCAATTGAACAAACTAAAGACACGCCATTCTACTTTAATTATATTACCTCAGATAGTTGCGTTAAAATTATGATACTGCGTGTTTTCTTCAGAATAATTACACATTAGAAGAGTGCGCTAAAATTTATATAATCTATTTATAATTATGGAATATATCACAAAGACCACAGATCTGATCTTGACGTGCTAAAGCCATGTATGCATAATTTTATCATTAATTAATTATTTATCTTTATGAGCACAAATAACATGACTAAATAGTACAAAAAAATATCGAACCTTTTTATATGTATTTTAGCTTTATATATTATAGATACAAAAAACAGATTCATTAGAGATATGATCTGACTTATCTTTTATTTTTTAATACAAAGATATTAGTATGACCGGAACATAATAATAGTAATAATTCATATTTATGCGATACATATAGTTTAGCAAAATTATTTTCACATGTGTCATTTCACAGTGAAACATATCATTCATATATATATCATTAATCAAAAAATGGATGCTTTAAAATAAGAACAATTGTTGCGTAGTACCTGAATCTTGTAGTAACACTTTTTTTATTACATATGAAATAAAACCTGCTAATGAATTCTTATAATATGTGTACTTTCAAGAAAACATTGTTAAGAATTTAGGTTTCATATATATATTTTCCTTTCCTTTTATTATTATTATCACTTTTATAAGCTGTAATATATTTATGTTATAGATTCCATTATATGTATGTCTTATCATATAATATGATCTTAAGTGTGTGAAGATTTTTCTTTTTTACTTTAAATTATCCGTAATATATACGTTTTCAGAATCTATAAGATAATTAATTCTATTTGCAGAGAATGTAAGTATATCTCTCAACATTCATGAAAACATGTAATATTGATATTTCATTCAGTGACTGGAATATTTTTTTTACTTTTATCTGATCTTTCTCGATTATTGAAACATCGGAATATCTTCGACATGATGGTTGCAGCAAGTGAGAAAATAAATTTCTGTATAACTTATGTTCATTATAACGCAATTGAAAATATATCGAGGACGAAATGATAAACTTACTTTCTTATCACAAAATCCTCGATTTCGTTTCTGTAGTTCTGTAGTGATCAATCCGTTTTCGGCTGTTTCGAATGTCGGCAACGACATAATGAACCGAAATTATATCAATCAATGAAGCAATGCGATGCAATATGTTTTATATACGGAAAACTCTGACAACCGACATGGAATATATTACGCTCGACGCTAATCGATCAAACAGCCACACGTAGGGAAGAAGAGAAGATATATACACACATTTAAACGTTGAAATAAATTTGATCAATTTAATTAGAATTTATTCCTAGAAATAGTGTCGTTTTACATTTGTAAGTATTTTATATTATATTAATGCATTTATATTGGAGAAAAAGAGTTAGAGAAATTAAAATTGCACGCACATACACAAAATATTTATTTTTATTTTATTCGATATTTATTTGAAAAATAATTTGTTGTCTTCTTTTTTTTTAGTTACACAATTTTTTTTTGTTAAATATTTTTTTGCATATACTTCTTTAAAATTGTGAATAATCACATATTTTATTCTAGAAGCGAAAAATGTAACGCAACGTGGCTAAATAGGACAAAACTTTCTATTTTTCCGACCATTTTAAGATAGATACTTTCCGCTTTTAAAAACAAAGAATTGACAAAAATTTCGAAAAATTGCAAGAACTTTTTCAACTTCAAAAGGAAGAAATGCTTTCGAAATTTTTAAATTAGATTATATTTTATTGTTTGATAGCAAATAAGTATTATACCTTTTCTGTTCAGTTTACTGTGCTCTACCTGCTCACGAGCGTTGTCAAGGGTGCTTTGGGACACCCTGTATATATTTATATGTGACTTTTTATATACGAACAAATTTTTTTGGACAAATTAATATCTTATAATCTAATTGCGAACAATATTGTAACAATAGTTGTTTCTCTCTCGAATCCATCGATCTGATGATACGTTTCGTGATTGATTGTGAATTTGTCAAAAAATGTGATTCACGATATATCAAAATAATCGCAATAATTATATCTGTTTGTTTCATATCCATACTTACTTTCTTAATAAAACAAAGTAGGGTGGAACAACAGGATATAAAGTAGCGTGGGAAGAACCGAAAATATGACTAATCGATGTTTCATCGAAAAGACATCTGGTCTATCGTCCTCGTCATTGCGCGAACTGGATTCCAAAAAGATGATGACAATGACCGCGACCGGTTGCAGTAAATTCGTTTTAACGTCGATTGGTCCCCGGTGTTCCCAAGCCAACAAGCGAGCGCATACTTTCTCTCGGGGAATGTACAGTCCGCTCGTAGTGCTTGTGCGTGGAACCGCGTTCCGTGAAGGCCGATTCGGTTTTCTAGCCGCATTTCCGTCACAAAAGACGACGGCGCGTCAGAGGAACATAATATTCTCGGCGAATTCACCATAATATCAAAACGCAAGACATCGCCGTTATTCGCGATCGCCAACCGTTATTCGTGACACCATATCGGACTCATTCACGGATCATTGACTTTGCTCGGACTCGCCTGATTATGAGCATTGGATCAGAGCTACCAGTTGTACATAATCCACTCCGATCATCTGTCCATTCCGTCAGTTTCTCTCCGCTTGTGATCTCTCGATTTCTTAGTCATTTCTCGATAAAAGTCAGTGACATGTTCTCGAATATTTAGGAGAAAAATGAAGCGATGGCGAGCGAGAACGAAAAGAACGGAGAGTGCTCTCGTGATGCTTCTAGGATGTTTGCTATTTTCTTACGGTAATTATTGATCTCGTATATTGTGTATAGAAATAGGCATTTGCAAAACAGAAAGAGATTGGTGAAAAAGAATTTGAGAAAAAACCGTCGCAAAATCAAAACGATAATAGTCAAAAAGATCGCTTCATCTGGCATTAATATCTCCCCGAAGGACATCGCTTCATTCGATATTTTCGAAAAACAAGTTTCCCTATGCAAACGATAGAAATCTAGAGCTTGGAATTTGAATTATTCAGAGAGAATTTATTTCAAACTGTATTAAACACATTTAAAAAAATAGATAAATTATCATGATAAATATGATTACAATATATTTTTTCTTTTTACATATACTTTGCTAAAATATATAAACATGCTATATTAAACGTTCGTCTAATTATAATTTTGTAATGTCGTAAATCGACACTCGGCTAAACTAATTTAAATAAAGTATGCGCACCAACTCCAGCGCTGGCTCTTACTTGCCAATTATTTATGTTTGAGTTTGTTATTTATTTTCTCTCTTTCTCTCTCTCTCTCTCTCTCTCTTATAATTTTATAATAGTTTTATATAATTTATATTATGAAATTTGAATTAATTTATATTATATTATAGATATTAGTTATTGCAACATTTGATTTTTATCTCGATATTATATTTATTATATTATTTTTGCTCTGATAAGAAATTCTGTCAATCTCTTAAATGTCTATATCGTATGCTATTATTTTATTTTATTTTATTTTATTTAATAAATATTTTTGTCAAGTCTAATAAATATTTTGATGTCGACAGCTTATGCGCAAGAAGATAATGGAGAATATAAGGGAAAATATTTGGGAAAGTTAAATCCCTATCATCATCAAGTTTCTGGTGATGTTTGGGCTGTGGATCAATATACCTTACTGTTGACGTCCTTTAATTATGATGGTAATGGAGCTGATACGTTTTTCTGGGCAGGAGCATCGAATAGACCAGGCCCGCAAGGATTTATCGTCCCCGATGAGTGGGGCAAGTAAGCTGTATTTTTTTTCTATAAATGTTTAAAAAAAATTCGAAATTAAATTCAACTATAAATTACTCAGTTCTTAATTCTAATAATTGCTTGGTTTTCAGGACAAATATATTAGATCGCTATTTGAACCGGTATTTTACACTCACCTTACCCGATAATAAGAAAATAACGGATATAAAATGGTTTGCAGTGTACGATTTACAAAGTCAAGTAGGTATAAATTTTAAGTATAATGTATTATGTGTGATTTCATGCTAATATTATTTCATATTTAGCACTAATATCTATGTAATATCGTAAAAGCAAGAATAAGTTAGATGCATTTATAAAGCGTATTTTAAACATAAAATATTCAAAGTATTTAATAATTTACAATTTGTCCTATTCTTGTTTATAAATTTAGATATTGTATCATTTCAATAATATTCTTAATTAAATGATGTATTGCCATATTACTAAGATATAGCTGTTACCGTTTTGAAATTTTTGTGCCATGATTAAGGTGAGGTCAGTTTAGTTGTTTAAAATTGTTTTTTCAACTTTAGAACACCTTCGGTGATGTGTACGTTCCGGAGGAGTTTGATCCACCCGCGCCACAAAAGATATCACAGCTGTCGAAAAGATCTCACAATGTTTCGTCAGAACCCATCGTGATTTTGGACTCAAAAACTATCAGCATATCACAATTTATGTACGATGGGCAAGGTGTGGACACGTATTTCTGGGTCGGTCTTGGTCCACAACCATCTAGCAAGGGTCACAAAGTACCCGATGAATATGGATAGTAAGAGAGAAATAATAGAGAATGTTATAATTTTTTAAAATCTATTACACTTATTTTTTTTGCCGCAAATACATTGATATACTCAAAGGATTGCATTTTATCAGTGCATTCTAAAATGTGAAAAGAAAATTTTTTCTACTTTTTAGCATGGATTCTCTTAGAACATACAATAACGAAGACATCATACTAGAACTGCCAGGCGATATGACGGTTTTCAACATAGATTGGCTGAGTGTTTTTGATGTAAAAACTAAATCGAATTATGGTTCTGCTATTATACCCGATGGACTCAATGTACCGCCGTCGTTGATAAAAATTATCAAGCAAACGCAGTCTCTTCCGAATTGCGTTCAGCTGCACAAACGATATCAAGTTGCCTGGGAAATCTTCGGCCCGCAGATTACCATTCAATTGGTAGGTCAAGTCGGTATGTATATTTAACGCAAATTATACATGGGTGTTATTATTTAAAAAACACTATGACATATTATTAATATGTGGAAATACGTTTTTTATTTATTTATTTTCTAGCCGAAGATGAGTATATGGCTTTTGGATTGTCCGGTTCGGAAAACTCCAGTCAAATGGAAGGTTCGGATGCAACCATCGCATATATGGACGATACCCGTGGATACGCTACGGACTATAATATCACAGCAAAGACACCAGTGCGTAACCTTGTTTAATGTGATTCTATGAAAAAAAGAAAAATGAAAGATAATGCAATAATGAATATCTTAATGATTCTAGTGTGGGAAAGTTCTTGGTCAGTACAAAGGCGTTTGCAGAGACGAGCTTCTCGGCGGTTTGGATAGCAATCAGCTCTTCACCGCGGTGAGAGAGAACGGTATCAACATCATTACGTATAGGCGTACACTTGTTTCATGTGAGTTACACGAGAGCTGGTGCGTTTCTCACATATACAAACACATGATATATATATATACTTTGACAGCCGATCCCGGAGACAAAGAATTCCCTATGGATAAACCAGTATACGTGGTCTGGGCTTTAGGCAGACTCGATAAAACTAATAACGAACCGAGCTTTCACGATTTGTATCCGAGAGGCGATGTAGTACTCGAACTAAATCGTAAAGAAGCAGAGAATGCTTGTATCGACTTTACGGAGACCAGCAGCAAACTTTCTCAAAAGTGCGAAGGATCTATAATGTTTCTTTACTTATAATCAAATTGCGGTTCTTGGTTTTAATCTCGTCTGTTACTTTTTTTTTTAGAGAACCTTGGCAGAAAGCCGAAATAATCGACAGAAGCGTTCGAACTTTCAAAGCAACTATCGGACCCTCCGGAGGAAAAAGAGGATATCAGGGAATTACGGGTATAAATTTCTTTGATCTTAGCTTAGATTCATAGCTAGATTGTTTTTCGACAATACATCACTTTAAGGAATTTTTTTTATTTACAGGGAAACCATCAGTGGGTCTTGCCTGGTACATCGAAGGCGCGTTGATACCTGAATTGTACTTACGTCGCGGATTAACATATAGCTTTCATGTTTATGGCGGGAACAATCCGCACAGCGCAAATCTGTACCATCCTTTAATAATAACCGATGATCCTCACGGAGGATACGACACGCTCAGCGATCTTGCGCAAAGTAAGATCAGAGTGTTGGCTGGAATTGAATTGACTAGAAGGGGTCGACCGCGACCGACCGCGGGTTGGTAGACTTTACATTCACTCTCCATCTTGTACGTTTATGTGAATTTTACGTTTATACGAATTTTATTATTTTTTAGTCGGGCCGCTTTGTTTAAGTAAGCATAAAGGTCGAGATAGAAGACTGGACGATACTTTTCCGTCGTTTAAGAAATTCAATAGGACTCTCATGCAAATCTGCGAACCAGGTAAGAGCTTGTTTCTTTCGAGTAAATCCAATTTATCGAATATAATTACAAATTTTTATCTCACGTCAACTTTAAACCGACTAAAACTTCCAAATGCACGTGTTTTTGTTATCATAAAGATTAATTTTATTTATAAAAATGATTTTCTTCTTAGGAGATGGAGGCACTTTAATATTGACTCCGAACTCGTCATGGCCCGATCTGGTTTATTATAACTCGTTCACTCATCCAAACATGGGATGGAAGATTCACGTAATCGATTCTTATACAAGGAGTAATGCGATTGCACATAAATTGTCATTATCATTCATTGCAATTACGACTGTGTTCTCTTATCTATTATAACATTAAGTATAATTTATAAAAACATATTGTATTAAATATTTTTTTCAACTTACAGAAAGATTACAGATTGAATCAGGATTCGCAAATTGCACGATTTATGCCAAACTAACATATACATCGCGATGTTACAATATAAAAATGATAAATCATCGTGTACTATTTTTCTTGACCTATATTAAGCAACTACTCCTAATAGTTCCTACACAATAAGTTGCATTCGTTACAATTTTGTGCGTTTATGTGCCTCTTGTGAGACATGGGAAATTCGGGATTGTTTATTGGACAGGAATCAGGGAATTCGGACTACGTTTAAATAAATTCATCGATATTTAACAATTGAAATAGTTGACGTGTAGCTTTTATTGGAAATATATATACGTATATTTGTTTATTGGTATTTTCTCATACAAGTCTTATTTCGCTCTTCGCTTTTCAGCTTCACACTTATCGCGGTTTCAAGTAACTTTGCGTGCACATGACTGATACTTCGCTGGTTTGACACGAGAGTCACTATTACGACCTTTTGTCATTTCGTGATACACACAGAAAAATACATACTATAATATATACAAGTAAATATTACTTGTTTTAAGTATTTCATAAGTAGTTTCATGTGGCATTTTTAACATCGAGGGAATCATGTCACTTCATCACATCATCATCCTATCAGTGAAAAAAAAATTAAATTATAATGAGAAAAAGGAGGGTAATATCATAAAACATTAATGAACGTTTTATAACAAATATATGTTTCTTGTGTAAATATTTGAATCTTTATACAACTTTCTTTTATTTATTTTTCGATTAAACGCAAGACTCTCCAATTCAGCAATACTTTGCACATTTCTGTACTTGTCTTATAAAATCTGACATTGAACAATATTTATAAAGTTTTTTATTTACGATTCAATGTTATTAAAAGAAGATGAGAAGTGTGACCTTATTTTATATAATAAACATAAAAATTAAATTAAGTTTTATCTATCTTAATACACATATCCAAATAGGAGAAAATAAGAAAAATCAAATAAGTATTTGTATATAAAAGCAATATAAATATTTCTATACAGAATATTTTTATTATATTATAATATTTGTAATTCCTGCATAAAAATGTTTGAAGTATTCGTGTATATATCCTAAATCTTCTAATGTAACATAAACTATTAATTATGCATCATTTCGTTAATTATAGCGACGTCACATGGATAATATCTTGCTAGCATTTCATTCGGTACATAATAAGGACGTTCGCAGAAAAATAATTTAGAAAAATATCGTCCTATCTCGTCATGTACGATAAATGGTGGTGAAGAAAATATCAATATATTCTCTGAAATAAAGAGAAAATATAATATTTTACCATGCTACAAATGAGAGAGATTTACTAAAGATGCTTTATATGCGATATTATAGCCTTTACAAATGATAATATACCTTGTCGTACATAACAGTATTCGTTATTGTCACAGAAAATTATGTAGTATGGTTTATGCGTCAAACACGTAGAATCTGTACAGTTCTTATATTTGCAAAATTTGATGATATTAGGTCTATTAAATATTTTGAAAGGTAAGCCATTGAAATAATAGTGCCAACCAACTATAACCCCACAATGAATTCTATTAGTATCATCATTACATTTATGGTTTACGATCGTTCCAATTACAAACTTTAGTTCTGCCGATCTTCTTTCTGGTTTGCTCCTTTTTATAATCTTAGATGATATAGATTCCCACTGAAAGAAGGATGTAACATTAGAATTTAACTAACCCCTTTTTTTTAAGTGACTTTTAAATTGATTTTTGTATCGATTTAAATTTCAGATAATTATGTAATTAGTGTTCATTCTTATATTTTAGTGCAATAGACATAGTCCGATATTCATAGTCCGTTTTTATATTCAAGATCGTCTTAAGTACGATCTTAAAATGCTAAGCGGCCATTTCTTTTGGTTGAATGAGATTTTAAAACGACCTAAGACCACACTTAAGACTTGAATATAAAAATGGACTATGAATACCAGCCTTAATATAAGTAAGTTACTTTTATATTTAATATGTCTGGGTAAGTGACATCCTGATCTGTTTCCCATGTATGCTGCAAATCTTGTATTGACTCAGATGACCAAAACTTAAGTAATGTCGGTTCTACCTGAAAGAACAAATATGTTATCTTAAAAAGTCCAATAAAAAAGACATGTATTCATTATCTTAAGAAATAGACTTATAATATTCTAATTATCGATAAGAAAATGTGAAAAAATGTTTGTTATTTTTTCTTATTGTTCATAAACAATAATTTATATTAGTTTAATATGTTTTTCTACAAAGATTATAATGATGTATAATTGATTGATGGTTATATTAACTACTGCTTAAATTAATAGAAGTCATATACAGAGTGGTATACTTTAGTTATTAGCATCATTAAGATTTTTTTAAAACAATTTCAACAACTCTAAATAATGTACCATTTAATTAATATCATAAAGTTAAGAAGAGATCAAAGCGCGAATACACTGTGGCAGCGCGAGCCCCTAAATTTTAAATTAGCGCGAGTTTGCATCGTATTACTTGTGCTTTAACTTATAAATATTGACATTCACACTCCCTTTCTTCATGTGTACAAACTTTTCGTCGTTTCAGTATATTCTGCTATTTATTGAAAATAAATGTTGTCAAGGGTAAGATCCAATCTTCGTGAAAGACTTGTAAAATATTTGAAATGATCATCAATTTGAATATTTGTAATAATGAATGATTAAGAGAGTCTGTAGTTTTTCTTTGTGTTGTTTCTAAAATGGTAAGTTAACAGGATTTGCGCTGCCACTGCGTATTCGCGCTTTGGTCTCTCACTAATTCCACGATAAATGATACATTATTTAGGGTTGTTGAAATTGTCTTGAAAAGTTTTTGATGATGCTGACAACAAAAGTATACTATTTCATTCCAAAAAATTGAATTGACTTTGAAATGACCTTGAAAATAATGTTAAGCTATATAACTGATTACGTGGTCAGATATTCCCCATCCATAGAAGCAACTTTTGTCTAAAACATATTTTTGTGTTATTAATAATTTCGAAACTATTCACCTGTAACACATTTAATGGAACATTAATAGACAAATTGAAAATATTTGGATCAAAAATGAACTCTATTCCAATATAGCTTCTTATAGGAACATCTCTTCGGATACGATCATATCTTCGAATACGATCATCTATGTCGAATCGACCATCCTTGTGTCTCACATAAAAATATTCTAGGCTGAGAACATAAAGAAAATATATGTACATACAGGCAACATACAAACACACATACGCGTGACCAATGATAATTACTAAAAAAGAAGCAAGAATATTATGCTTAAAGATATTATATTTTCTAAACATCACTAGAACAACAAAGACGCGCGCTGCGCGCGTGCTTATGCTTATGGACATTAATTATGTAACTTATTGTAAATTGTGATATACTAAAAATGAAAAATGTGCACGGGTATGTGTGATAAGAATAAAAATCAGAAAGATCGAATAGCTCTCTCTCTCTCTCTCTCTCTCTCTCTCTCTCTCTCTCTCTTTCTCTCTTTCTCTCCCCAAAGTTAAAATTATGCTTACTTTGATTTAAGAAAAATTTGAAGTTCAAAGCCGTTGAAATTTACAACGGAGTGTATTCCAACTCTTCGCAATATAGCATGATATATTGCTAGAAAAAATATTTCTTTTCTTCTTAAAACCTATACCATAAATAACAATGAAAACAATGAGTATAGCTGTCAGTTCATAGAATAATGAAACATAATAATTTCTTATAATAACTTACAATAAATTCAACTTCATCACCTACATGTGGATTTAAATTTATCCATAATTCTTGATATATTCTACCGTAATTCGATCGATCAGACAAAAATTCTTTGATTGCAATCAAAATCGTCTTCATTTCTTCGTAATGCCAATATGTATGGAATGTATTATAATTTCGCCAATGATTAAAATATTCATCAGACATCGCAAATATAGAATGCAAGGGATGTTTTTCTCTAAGATCTTGCAATATCTCTTTTGCAATATTGTCCAAGAACGTTTTTGTGTCTGAGTAATAGATAATTCTGTCAATATTGAACCATTGCACCAGAAGAATAATCATTTCTTCCAAAAGTTGATGATATCTGTGTCTACTTCTAAATTTTAGTATACTGTGCTTCAGATGATAATACTTCAGTTGTCGAAAAATGTAGTAGCTGTAATATCTCTGAGTCAAATCGCAACCAATTGTCCTGACAAATCAACATATTAATTATTTAATACATCAATTATTTAGATATATTAATTCATAATATTGTATCACATGTAAATATCAATTTAGTTTATTAAGTTGTATACCGTGGATGTTGCCGCATTATTCCTTCAAGCTCATATGTAACGATTTGATAAATCGTATCATTCCTGGTTTTGTCCAGAAATTTTAACATCGATTTTTTCTTGTTTGTTTCGCTTAAATTATCCTTAGGTATTTCGGATATTAAATTGTACATTTCTTTTACACATTTTACGACTGCTTTATAATCTTTTATAATCTTTTCTTCACTCGTCATGCTATCACAAATTATTCTTGTACGAGGCCATCTACAATTCAAAGAGAAGTTATGTTACATATTTTTTGAAAATTATACCAAACAACGTCATTGTATAAGGTAAATATTGAAATGCATAGATTTTCATAGGGAAAATTTTGCAAAAAGTACAAAATTTCATTATGGTTAGAAGTTTTCATTTTTTGTATAAGGTTTTTAAACGGAATGCTTTTTCAAGAACTTGGCTAAAATATTGGAAATATAAAGTTATAAATTTTGCACTTTTATTTCAATTCGGGCGATCATGTAACTTTTTATATCCCCGATCTTAAAAAAAATTTATATTATTAACTCTCTATAATTTCATATTTTGTTAGAGTTTTGATAAAACGTTCTGTAAAAGAATTTGCGAAAAACAAACAAAAAAGTAATACTTCTGATAGAGCTTTTTCATCCAAAGTTTATCGCCCCATGATGTTTGCTTAAATTTCTTGCACGTAGAACTAAAATTCTCGATGTCCTTGATGCTGATTTTCTCCAAAATCATAATAAGAATTTCGTACGACAAAGATTCTATTGTAGCCATCGTAATAATAATGATGAACCGTCGATAAAACAAGGCACGAAATTTCACAAGATAATCGTAATAAACGTATAAACTATCACTGATCACGCTATATGAGCGTACAAAGAAATACTGTAACATTTATTCGATCCACACAACCGAGCATACCAGATTCGGGACGCATATCACGCCAAACTGTGGTAGAGGGAATAACACAACAGTAGAAAAACGCGTTCATGTGAGACATATACGCGGTTTTTAATTGTGTGTGTATCCCCTCTATCACGATTTGGCGTGATGCGCGTCCCGAATCTGGCATGCCGAGCAGCTTTACTTGTCGATGGAAATATTCGATTCCGAATCGATCGTCCAAATCGATCTAGACTATCGATTTTTAAGAAATCTGATTTTGATACAAATTGATTAATTTAATAAGAAATCGTTTTCCGGTTCTTCGAATTCGCAATTCTGAACATGTATACTTGAAATTGTCGGTTCGATATCAACGTTTGTAGCTTGCACGACTGATAAAAATTTGTATCGACAATTATCGTAATACTTTCGATTATAGACATGATGTAAAAATATGACTTATCGAATAACGTTGATTGACTATAAAAAAAATGTATGTGGGGTAATACAATTTTTAAATTTGTGACGAAGTGACGATGATTTTAATTCCAATTATGATAAAATATTATTAAAAATAGATTTTTGAAGGATATGTGTATTAATATAATAAAATAAATTTTGAATATTATTTTGTCAACTGCTTCACGGTGTCACTATTTTCTCCAAAATAAAAATTAAGTAAAATTGATGTAATTTCATGTGGCATTTATAACATCGAGGGAATCATGTCACTTCATCACGTCATCTCCCTACTAGCGAAAAAAAACAAAATTATAATGAGAGAAAGGAGGATAATATCATAAAACATTAGTCGCGTTCGGCAGAAAAAGTGCTCAGTTATTGTCTGGTCAACATTCGACGTTGATTTGTTGGTTTTTAAAGTAAGAGCCAATCACAGATTGTAACATTGCTGCAATGTAATTGCAATGTTCTGTGCTGTATGGGCGCTCACTCGCCTTGACGCCTCCCTTTGAGAATCTCGAACGAGCATTCCATCTCCTTTTTCAAACATTTTCCCTCTCTCTCATACTCGTTGCCTTCATTCTTCTCTCCATTCCTCCGACATCGTTCGTTCTGCCTTTTTGTCGCTCTCGTTGACGCCTCGCCAAGCATATTATATACGACAACGTAGGCATGTGGCTGACAGTTTACTCCGAGATCTTGATCCGCTCGACACGCGAAGGATTGAAAGTATTCCGAAAGTATAATTGCGTTTACTTGCTTCCTGAATTTTCTTTCTCTCTGATCAAAACCACATCGAAGAAAAAGCAGGGGAAAAAGTGACGCAAAGATGGAAATGCACGTTACAAACATAAATGACAGCATAAATATTACAACCACAGAAGGTAATGCTCTAGTATGATAAAAAATGTAATATAAGAATATATTAAATTATCATTTTTAATATGTTGTGAATTTGATAGACTATCTATCTTGTACATAAAACTTGAGAAGTTTTTAATGTGTGATATTATGTATGCATTACAAATGCAGAAAGTAAGAGTTTGTAAATACAACGCTAATAATAAATTATCAATAAATGTGGTTGTGTTAATCTAAAAGTTTGTGCCAAACTAAAAGAAATTTTAAATATTATTTTAAATATACAATAGATTTTTTATCTATAATTCTGCGAGAGTTGCAATAATCATGTACACGATAATAAATAATGTAATTATTAAAAAATAAAGATAATAGTATTAATAATGTTTAAAATCTTGAAAAAACTGAATACTTTTTTCAAGAGAAATTTAAACTTATACTATTAAAAAATTAATATCTTTAATTACATCTTATTAAATTAATCTTAACAGCAAAATAATATTTGTGAAATAAAATAGTAAAATACTTGATGTTCCCTTTTATGTGCAAAAGACTTATTTTATCAATTTTTTAAATCATCAACATTTTATTAGAATTTTTAATTGATTATCTCCATTTTATCAGACTATATATTAGGTCTTAAGATTTTTTAATAATTAATTTTTCGGCAAAAACCTTGATTAACATTATACATTTGATATATCAAACACATTGCCAATAGAAGAAGGTTAGAACGTAAATGCTTACGAACATTCCAATCTATAAATTTGTCGATTGCACATTCAGAATTGCATCATGCGAGTCTCATGTTGATAATATAATTCGAGCTGGGAGAGCCAATAAGCAATTATAACGCGATCGCAAACGCATTAATTCGAATAAGTGATGACTCAATAAGAAGACAAATGTCCGCAGAGGCACAATCTACTATACGAAATCTCGTATACACAGACTTTTTGGAAAAACACTGCTCCATAAAAAGCCGACATTGCATCGATAACGCGTGCTTTCTCTAGAAGCTCCCTATATAACCGATAATTATCATAAGTCGCATTGAAATGTATTTAATGTAATTTAAATTTACTTGTAATGTAATTTACAAGTTTGCATCTTCAATTATTTCATTCTTTATATACTTTTGTGTATGTAAAAAGTTATGTATCTGTAATTTTTTAAAAATTGCATTATAATCTTGTTAAATATATAGATACACAACCGGAGTATAAACGCATTAATTAATTTTTTTACATTTATTTAGATGCTGAAATAAACTTTAAAAAAAGAGATGATTAATACTTCCCTTCATATGTAAATAAAAAAAAATAAATATATATATAT